CGAAGGGGTGTAATTGATATGAGGCTGGGATGGGGGGAGAAGGGTAAGCTTGTTCGCAAATCTGACGTAGAGAATGGCGGTGATGGGAAGATTGATGGCTACGTCATATGGTCTTGTCATTGAATAGGCAAAGGGACGAGGGTAATTGTCGTGCAGTAGCTGGGAATAGCGAGGAGCCAAGTGATAATGACTGCCTGTCTTGGGAACATATGCTACTATGGAATGCATTTAATGCAGAGAGAAATCGAAATTTTTTTTGTTACCTTGGCAACTAAAAGGCTAAACTTGACAACCATTCCATAAGTTTAACAATAAAGCGCTAAACTTAGCAACCAATCCATATGTTTAACAATACAACGCCAAACTTCACAATAAATCAAAAAGCTTGATAACCAGCACATAACATTGATAGTAACAGACAAGCGATAGTCTCTCAGACCAAAACTACATGTATACATTTACTTCTGCATATCAAACAAACGTACTATTTAATGTCAGGCCAAAACTTTGACAACCAAGGGCGAACATTCACCCAAAAGGCTAAACTTAACAACAAAGCGCTAAACTTAGCAACCAATCCATAAGCTTAACAATACAACCCAAACTTCACAATAAATCATAAAGCTTGATAACCAGCACATAACCTTGATAGTAACAGACAAGCGATAATCTCTCAGACCAAAACTACAGGTATACATTTACTTTTGTATATCAAACAAACGTATTATTTAATGTCAGGCCAAATCTTTGACAACCAAGGGTGAACATTCACCCAAACGGCTAAACTTAACAACAAAATGCTAAACTTAGCAACCAATCCATAAACTTAACAATACAACGCCAAACTTCATAATAAATCGAAAAGCTTGACAACCAACACATAACATTGATAGTAACAGACAAGCGATAGTCTCTCAGACCAAAACTACAGGTATACATTTACTTCTGCATATCAAACAAACGTATTATTTAATGTCAGGCCAAATTTTTGACAACCAAGGGTGAACATTCACCCAAAAGGCTAATTGTCTGATACAATACAACGTCAAACATTAACAACTAAGAGCTAAACTTGAAACTAATCCATAAGCTTAACAATACAACGCCAAACATTGACAACCAAGAGCTAAACTTGACAACCAATCCATAAGCTTAACAATATAACACCTAACGTAATAATAAATCCATAAGATTAACAACCAGTCCATAAACTTGACAGCCAGTCCATAATCTTAACAATAAAACGATAAACTTAACAATAACAACCTTGTATCAGGTAATGATTTTCTTTACAATCATGCAACAACCTTTACAACAAACAAATAAGTTTAACAACAACCCCGTAAATTAAATAACAAATCCCTAAGCTCAACAACACGATGACAACTGCATGTACAACCATTGTCTTTGCTCTAAGTTCCATCAGCCGTGGGTGAATATAACTGGCTCCCTTCAATGAGCTTGTACAATAACAGGATAGTTATGATTTATAAGTGTGTAGAATACAATCAAGTCGGATGGATCAATGCGTGAATCACATGGGAAGGCAGTCATATGCTTGTGGAGATAGTCCTTTGGCTTACGTTAACACTGTATAGTTATACAGTGTTAACGTAACCCAGAGGACTATCTCTACCAGCATATGTCTGCCTTCCCATGTTATTTGCGCATGACCCATCTGACTTGATTGTATTCACTGCACTTTTGAATCATAACTGGGCGTTAATGTACAAACTCTTTGAAGAAAGCCACATACATTCACCTACAACTGATGAAACTTAGAGAAAAGACAATGGGGATAAAGATAACAGTATTAACATTCAAAAGGTTGATCTTCATGATCTCAAAAAAAAGGGAAAGTCTTTATCAGTATGAGGGATATCCAAGATCTTCATCAGCGTGCGTCCTTGTCGCCATGATCTTCATCGGTGTGAGGACTAGCATTGATCTTCTGGTTAATGGCGACAGGAGAACTTGAAGGTTTTGCGGAGAGGGTAAAAGCTTAGGATTTACATATAAAGGGAGGAGGGTCAACAGAGTCGGCGATGGGGAGATAGAGGAAAGATTGTGCCGAAAGGTTATCATACCTATCCTGTAGTTGAACAGGCGAAGGGATGGTGATGTAGCTGCGTGGGATGTGGGGATAGGTAGGAGTCCAGGTTGTCTTAACTCTCCTCCTTGGGAACTAGGAAATCATTGAATGCAGTAGCAGAAAATATATCTTGGTGACCGTGACAACCAAGTGCAAATGAATAACAGTAAACATAACATTCAATCGATAAACCTAACAACCAAATAGTAACCTTAACAGCTAAGCCATGATCTTAACACTTATAATGATATATTTGACAATAAATCCATATACATAACAATAAAACGCTAAACTATATAGGCTCGTTACAAGTTGCACACTAAACTATATTGTTAATTAGCGTAAATTAACAACCCGGTGCTAACCTTAACAACCAATCCAAGACAACCTTGTCAACAAAACGTGAATTAACAACCCAGCGCTAACCTTGACATGCAATCTGTAACCTTGACAACCAATCCATAAGCTTTACTATACAACGTTAAGGTTAACAATAAACCCATAAGCTTAACAACAATGCCCTAACATCAACATTAAACCCATAAGTCTGCCTACCCAAGTGACTTCACTATTATAACGGGGATTTCTTGGATTCTGACTGTATAATAATATCAACCATTTGAATGCTAATAACGTTAGCTATTCCCTACTGTTATTTCTCTAAGTTCCATCAGTTGTGCCTGAATATAAATGGATTTCACCAAAGAGCTTTCCAGCAGCCAGGTAAGTTCACGGAAAGCTCTTTGGAGAAGGCCATTTATATTCACGCATAGTTGATGGAACTTAGAGAAAATAACAATGAGGAATAGATAAGGGTAATAATATTCAAAAAGGTTGATGCTATTATATGGTCAGAACCCAGAAATATTGAAGATGTCTTCATCATCGTGAGGGCTAGCCATGATCTTCTAGTTTATGAGATTGGAGAGGGAAGAGATTAGGATGATCGAGAAAAGAGTGAGGATAAATAGAGTGGCGGTGATGGGAAGATAAAGAATATGTAAATGTGAGGAGAAAGGTTATAGGTTGGTTCTGTCTTGGAACAAGCCAAAGGATGGTGAGATAACTCTACTGCCTTAGGAACTATGAAATGCATTGAATGTAGTCAAATCAAAAATATCTTGGTAACCTTAACAATCAAGTGCAAGTGAATAATAGTAACCTTAACATTAAAGTGATAAACTTGACAACCAAGTAATAACCTTAACAAGCAAGCCATAAACTTAACAATTTTAACGATATACTTGACAAAATTCTGTAAACATGACACCAAACAGTATTATTATCAACCACTCCATAGACTTAACAATAAAAACGCTAAACTATATAGGTTTGTACACAATTTTGATGATTGTGACCCTCTATGTTGTGTTGAGAGCACTTAACAGGACGGGTATCGAGCGACCTATTTTTAACAAAACAAACTCATCTAGTACATGGTCTTCCCAGTCTTTTTTTGGTGCGAGGAGGCTTTAACAATCGGTGACCCTGACAACCAAGTGCAAGTGGATAAGAATAAACTTAACATTCAATCGATAAACTTGACAACCAAGTTAAAACTTCAACAAACAATTCATAAACCTAACAACCAAATAGTAACCTTAACAGCCAAGCCATGACCTTAACACTTATAACGATATACTTAACATCAAATCCATATACATGATAATAAAACGCTAAACTATATAGGCTCGTTACAGGTTACACGATTGTGACCCTCCATGTTGCATCGAGAGCACTTAACAGGACAGGTGTTCAGCGACCTGTTATTTATTCGTCTAGGGCATGGTCTTCCACGTCTATTTTTGGTGAGAAGAGGCTTTAACACTCGCTCATCTGGTGGTACGAAGCGCTTCTCATAATCTGGGATGGGAAAGATGATCAGTGCATAATTTATTCTGAATGCGTCAACAGTCATGTAGTAATCACAATATTAATAGATTTCTCGTCCCATCCATGTAATTGCAGTACACGCATGTTTGCAAGGAATGCGGGTGATATCCTAGGACCTGTAAGAACATGTCCGATTCTTCAAATCTACACGGTAAGTTTTATTGGACTCGACCTCCACAATATCTTCCGTCAAATGTTTAATCGCCAAGCAGCTATCATGCTAAATGTTATCGCACAAAACCATCTTTGCTTCCGGACCTAAGTATCCAGACCATTTCTGACCCACTAGCCTCCTTTCATGCATGCGCTCTATTATTTACTTCTGTATGATCTCAACCAAAGGTAAGATTCACAACAATTGTACATTTCTTATCCAGCTGTTGAAGGACTCAACAACGTTTGGAGTAACATTATCATACCTTAACAACAAAACACTAACATTAATAATAAAACCATAACCTAAACATTAAAGTCCTAACTTTAACAACAAAATTCTAAACTTAACAACAAAACCCTAGAAGAATAATTCTAACCATAACAATAAAACTCTAACCTTAACAGAAAACTATAGGCTAACTCTAACCTAAACAACTATAATGGTGCTGTAACAAAATAACACTGAAACCAAGTTATCTTACCTTATACCAGGAAAATACGCATTTGCCCATCTCTCCGGGGAGTATTCCATTGCAGTGACGTAAGCCCTGTGATCGATCACTGCCAATTCTTTTATGTCATCATCACATTCAGAAATTGTGTACTTATAAACCGCAGATTGTAACAGCTCGCCCAACGTATTGGTGACATTTATCTTGTGTCCAAAATCCTTCATCTTCTTTTTGAAATTCTCAACTAGATGCAGAACACACATTGAATGGAATGCATCTGGAAAGAATTCCTCGACTGCTGCCCTAACACCCTTATCGGCGTCGGAAATCATTACCAGTCGATGTAGAGGTTGGTAAGGATTTTCCCTATTATACAGTAACGTTCGCAATCCTTGTAAGAACTATTTCTAGTTAACATCATTCTCCTGGTTGCATACGCAATAAGCAAGGGGAGATATTCTCTGGTTACCGTCATGCCCAGTGGCACTAAGTAGTATGCCTCTATGGCGATCTTTAATAAATGTTCCATCCAAAAACAATAGAGACTTACACCCAGTAATGAACCCTTCAATACAAGCATTATAACTAATGAACAAACGCCTGAACCTCCCGTCATCAGCATCAATAACAACACAAGTCCCTAGATTAGTTGCATGCACCATGTATTCATACCTGCATGAATATAACAACAAAGCAGTAAATTTAGCAACAGATTCATAACCATAACTGATCTTCAACCTTAATAACCAACATGTATATTTAACAACGAACCAATAACTTTAACAACTAATATGTATAGTTAGCAACCAATAAGTAAGAGTGACTTCAGAAGAATAAAAAGGAACGTACCATCTCAATGAATCGTAAGCCTCATCATCGTCACCGAACAGATCCTGTTGAGCTGTCTCCTTACCCCACCAAGCTTTACTGTAGTTAGTCTTGATGTCAAAATTGGAGAGCATGTCGTTCTTGATATCAACTGCACCAAGATGTGGCCTAACCTTTAAAACAGCTTGTATTTGACTAGCAATGAACTTCCTTGATGCCCTTGAGTTACCAGCATTTGCTCCATATTGACCGTAGGTGTGGGTAGATTTGAAATTCTTTATGGACATGATAGATGAATTTCTGAGTGGGGAAGCAAACAACATCCAAGGGAAACCATGTGTGTGCTTGAATAGGCAATAGACTCTTATGCGCCTTTGTTCATTGTGATAAAAATCATACTCGAACCATTTAGCAATTGAATAGTATTGAAGTGCTAATCTAACTTCAGCATCACTATCAAATTTCTGATCAACTTCATGTATGGAGGTGTGCCACTCAGTTGGAATCTTTGTTTGGTGGTTAAGCATGTCTTCCAGCAGCATGATCGATTCGTCGATGGGGTTGTCATTAGGAATACGCTCATCATTACAGGTTTGGGTGAACGTGGTATCTGCGCACCATGAATTTTCTGTTGGTATAATCCTGAAGTAGTAATAAAAATACATAGCCTCAACAACGAACTGATAACCTTAACAACAAACTCATAAATGTAACAGCCGACACATATCCTTAACAACTAACCCTTATACTTAAGGACAGACTCGTGACCTTAATAACAAACGCATATACTTAACATCAAACATCTTACCATAGCAACCAACTAGTATACGTAACAGCGAACACATCACCTTAGAAAAAAAATCTTTAAACCTATTTCATAAAATAAGCCAAACAACACATAACCTTAACAACCAGTCATTAACCTAACCTTGATGACCAACTCATAACCTAAGCAACCAATGCATAAGGTTAGCAACCAATGCATAAGGTTGACAACTAATGACAGAACCTATCAGTGAACTCATAAGGAAATCTGAAGTGTAATTCCTACGTATTTTCCAGCGTAGTCTGCGTGTTCTGCGAAGTTGAGGATTCCCCAGCGGAGGTAGCATACAAATTCGTGTCTGTAAATCCATTACGCCGACAATACTCGAACATTAAATTTAAGTCATCGTCATTATCAATTGAAATACTGAATTTCTTTTCCCTTTCGCATATGAACTACAGTGAAAGAGATTGTATTGGTATTTTAAGCCTTTCCGACACTTGATATTTCAAGCTGATTATTTTTATATTCTCTTTGATAACGACGAATACACTGTCACCATCTTTGTTGCTTTTTACCTTCGTTACCATGCAAAGAAGAGATCCATCCATCATTTTGTTACAGGGAGTAGTTGAATAATCTAAGAGGCTTTTATTGAGGAGAATTAACTGGGAGGAACAAATTAGTTGGGGTAATAGAATGGGGAGGAACTCAGCGATTTTATTACGACAAAAATGGGAATATATGTGATGATAATTTTGGAGGGAAATGGGAAAATTTCCTCCCAAAACGGCATTCTAGTCACTATTTAATGCCTACAATCAAAACGCCATGTTTCTGACGTGAGAGGGCGACGGTTACAGGCTGTGTAGGGGTATTTTAGGCATTTCGTGAGGGGTTTAAACGGAGTTACGCCTGGGGATTCGTTTTGGGGGCAGGAAGAAAATCACGGAGTATTTTGGGGGCAAAGCACCCGTTGAAAAAATCTTGGGAGGAAGCATGTTTTTTTGGGTTTTTGGGGCTGGAAGCATTTTCCCTATAATATAATATAATATAATATAGTAATTAATAATATTGATTAGTAATTATAGTACAACATATTATATTTTAATTTAAAGTAAAATAATATTTATATTATAATAATGTACTAAACCAATTGGATACGTTAATTTAGAAGTAGTTAATAGATAAAATTATATTTTAATAAGGTATCACATCATCAATTATCCCACATAAATTGTCAAATCAAAGGCTCAAATTGTCTCATTAACACACTTATCTCACTTTACCCCACTCAAAATATCTTAAAGGGAAAATATTGTTCCAATGGAACAATTTTTTCCCACTTAACCCCAATTTGTCCCAACTAATAACCCCCCCCCCCCCCCCCCCCATATCGTCTATTACATGAGAATTCCCTTAAGTCAGGATGTGAAAATGATAACAATAGCAAACAGACATTTTTATCACCGGGAGTTAAGTCACTTATTAACTCTTAAAGCTTTATATCAGTAGCTTTTGTTGTCCAGACAAATTATCTTTTTTTAGTGTACTTGCACTATGTGTATGTTCAACATTATAAGAAATACAAAATCTCTCTATAAAATGTCAGGAGATCTCTCTGCCAACATTGATGTTACATGATATTCACATAACTAACATGTTTTAGGATCAATGGCAAAAATGTTGATAAAAAATTTGGGATATTAACTTTCTACAATAGGTGTACTTGCAAATTGCAACTAATCATTTTATATTCTATTATAGACAAGATACGCCATATTTAAAAGAAGTAGGAAAAGCGAGAAAGAGAAATATAAAGGTGACTTTTGATGAGATAATGGAAATACTTTGGCTATCAAATGGGTCATAGTTGCTTACTTCGGATAAGCTTCTACAAAAGAAGCCCACAACCCAAAGACATCCTTGGCTGGTGCCGTCGTGAGAAAAGTGAAAATTATAGAAAAGAATAACTAGGATTTGCATTCAGAATGGTTACAAATGGATATCAATAATAGTTAGAGACTAAATTAAAGAGAATGCGGACAAGTGGGTGGCTAATAAATCATAGATCTTTCTCGAAAGAGGTAAATGCGCAAGAGACAGACATCTACTATTGTTCGGGCCCGTTCAAGCCGGTAACCTGTTGGAACCGACCCGATTTGGTGTGGTTTTCGAGTTGTCCCAATTCAATTCGGTACATTAAAAGCCCCAATTCCCGTTGGGCAAGGGAGAAAGAGAGGAATTTATGGATTAACTATCTAAACGGATTAATTTGGTTAAAAAGTTGAGTTAATTAATCCTTCATTTTAGAGGCATTAATAAATCCGCTTAAAGAAAAGGATTAAGAGGCATTTCTCCTCGAAATAAGAAACGAAACTTTAAATAAGAATATATTTTAACATATTTATGAAAACTAGCCTCCTAAACCTTTTTTATTCGTCAAATACAAAAAACTTAACCATTCACTGAATTATTTTTAACCTCTCGTGAAGGATTAACTAAGTTAGGACTTGTTTGACAACTCCTCAAAATTGGACTAGATTTTGTCCTAGTCACATTCTAGAGAGAAGTGTGTTTGGCAAAGATTGAGTTAAGATTCGCACAACTTTCTCCGGGGCAAAAAATAACCTCTAAATTGGATCTTTTGCAAACAAACTCCACTTAGTTTATAATAGAACTAGTTTAGAATAAAATTAGGCTATATTTGATCATGACCTACTTTGTAATAAGGATTGGCAAACACAACCTTAGTGCTTTCACTAAATGTCTTTTTCTTGATCTCTTTCCAAATAGCGCCAGGGTCAAGTGGTCAACTAAAACGAACCCCCTTCTTAGCCATCGCTTCAACTAGCCGTTGCCTGAGGATTGAATGTATGAATGCAAATATGTCACAACTCCCTTCCGCATGCGAGCAATAAAGAAAAAGAAATGCCCAAACTACCCTTTCACGCCGTCATGGAGGGTATAAATCAGCCGTGACAGGAGTCAAGCAGACTATTTATGACGGTCAACAACACTCGAAATCTGTTGAGGTTGAGTGAGTTAGGGGCCGTTTGATTCATGGGAAGGGCATTGGGTTTTGGACAGAAAGCCTGTCAAAACTGGCACTTTGGCAGGCTTTCTGCTCAAAGCTCAATGCCCTTCCCATAAACCAAACAGCCCCTTAGGGGCTGTTTAGTTGTTGTTGGTAAAATTGTGTATTTATGACACAACTTAGAAAGTTGTTGTTCACCTCATCAATTTTACTTGTATACTTTTCTTTGTTTGTTTTTTATTCCATTGGAATCATAAATTGCTTTTTTGGTTTGCAAATGTAACATTAATTGTTTGTTTGGAAAGTGTAAAAAGTGGCCCCTACTCAAATGATCATATTGGTTGGAATTATTTTTTATTATTTTTTTCTGACTTTAATATCAATTTTCTCCTAAAATCATGTCTTTTTTTTATGAAATCATTTTACAAGCCACATCAGCATATGAAATGACTTTACACTATTTTCACAACTACAAACAAACAATTGAAAGTGAAGAAAGCTGACATTGGGACCCACTTTTTTACACTTTCCATCCTTTTACATGGTAAAAACATACAACCAAACAGCCCCTTAGCCACACAGAGAGAAAAGGCTGTATCAGTAATCCGTGAGGAGTTTGAGACACCAAAGAAAGTGGCTCTTCCATTAGTAAATTCCATCAGCCATCTCACCTGTCCTTGATGAATGATGGTGATAATATGCACTGAAAACATTCAAATAGAGCAGTTTAATCTTCCCAGTATTACTTGAATCCATGTCAATCTGACCAAATGCTCAGCCCAATATTATTCGCTAGAGACCCGTGACTCCTGTCTAGGAGTACATTCGGTCCGGATACAGCTCGGATAAGTTACTTATCATATTCAAATCCGTTTACTCAGCACAGATACGGATACGAATATACCTCGGTAAAAAAATTATATCCATATCCACTAAAATCAAATACGGATACGGATATATATAAATGGATACGCATGTGGATACAAAAAAACGAATATGAGAAAACTAGATTATGTTGAGAGAAAAATATAGTTTATGCGATACAATATAGTTCATTAATATATTCATTATATCTGAAAAGCTAAGGCAAAAATTATTGTAGCAGTATGACTAATATGTATTCGGATATTTCGTATACAAATCCTGATATTTCACTACAAAATCATATCCTCAATTATATCTTATCGGTTATATATGTGAGTATTTATATTCATATCTTAACAGACGGTTTCGGATATTTACTTAGTTGCGGATACTGTTTAGCACCCTTGCTCCCACAATATGTTCGGTAAATAGGAGAGACTAATTTCGGATCCAAAGCATTATGACCAACTATAAAACTCGTGATCGATGGGGCGTTTTTTATCTACATGATAGCTTGTTTTAACATGATTTAATCAATAGTTTTGAGTTTTCCCCCCAAAGTGTTGCAGTAAACAGGTTACCTGGATAATAATTTTGCACCCGCTCCCCCCAAACTCCACGCCAAATCTACCCCACAAAACAAACAGGGTCGGTGGGTCCCCGGCACAAAAGGAACCTCGTCAAAAAGTACTAGCGTTTTCCACCCGAAAAAAATACTCTATTCTCACGTGACGCCCAGGTGCTACCGTTTCCCGACACGAGCGCAGAAAACGCCGAAAGCAGGCCACCGTCACGTGCATCGCTCCAAACCCCACCACCGCCCCTCCGCCCAACCCGGCACGTTGCCTTCGACGCATACTAGAAATTTCATAGACCTCCTTTGAAATTTACGGGTTTGCAATTTATATCGAACATAGTCACAAACGGTGCTAACGTGAAGCATAAAATCTAAATTATCTCAATACTATTTTCTATAGGAAAGTTTCCACTTTCCACTC